GTGGGAGAAGCAGTGAGCCTGCAGTCCTCAGAAATTGTCATAAGCCTGAGAGTGAGTAGGAAGGCTTCTTTTTTTACTAAAAAGCTCTAGAAGATTGTTCCTGGTTGAGAAAAGAGCCCTTTGGTCCACCGGTTATAATCCAAAGTCTAATTTATTTTATTTTTATATTTTATTTTGAGGTATTCAGTTTTAAAGTTTTTTGTGTGTTTTCAGTTAAACAGAAACTTGCCTCAGAAGGTTCTTACATGACCTTTTTGAAGGACTACATAAGAACTCATGATTGGTATTAGTTTTCTTTTAATGTTTTTATTTATTTTTGTGACAGAGAGAGACAGAGCATGAGCAGGGGAGGGGCAGAGAGAGGGCTCGGAGACGCAGAATCCCAAGCGGGCTCCAGGCCCTGAGCACAGAGCCCGACGCAGGGCTCAAACTCACAGAGTGTGAGATCATGACCTGAGCTGAAGTCGGATGCTCAACTGACTGAGCCACCCAGGTGCCCCAGTTGGTATTAGTTTTTCAGTTAAGGGGTACTTTTAGTGTAGTCACTGTCTTAAACTAATTTATTTTTAGCGGAACTCCCCTTCCTCTTTAAAGAGTATACAGTTAAATCTCTCCTAGATGCCAAGTTAATGAAGCTTTATTACATTTTCATTAGTGTGTGTGTGTTCTTGCTGGTGGAGGTCAGATGTTGAGCATTTTTCTGCCCCTGGATAACTCCAAGGTCATCCTCGATGGATAAGGCAAGTGAGAGGGAGTGGAAGGTCTCTCTCCCTTCGCTTATTTCACATTTTGTCCTACGTCCTCAGCTACCGGCAAGCCCAGGCCGCTGTGCTTTCCATATTACCCCGGCTCCATCAGCTCAAAGTCCCTACCAAGAGGCCCACTGACTATTTTGCAGAGATGGCCAAGTCTGATCAGCAGATGCAGAAGGTAAGAAACAAAGGTTTTCTCTGGAAAGCCAAGGCTTTATACTTAAGTGTAGTCAGCTGGCTTATCTCCTGTAATTTAAAAATGACTAAGCCCACAGTGTTGCTGGGTGGTTCAGTGGGTTAAGTGTCTGACTCTTGATTTCGGCTCAGGTCATGATCTTACAGTTCTGAGTTTAAGCCCTGGGTTGACTGCTTGGGATTCTCTCTCTCCCTCCCTCTCTTGGAGATTCTCTTCCCCTCTCTCTCAAAATAAATAAATGAGCTTTAGAAGAAAATAAAAAGAACTAAGCCCAATAATAGGGAATTGATTGTCAGAGGACAGTTATCGTCTTGATTGCCTACTTCAGACTCATGCCAGTCACCACCAGTTAGATAAATAGAAGGATGATTTTTTTCCTAGTTTAAGCATTTAAGGGTAGGAGAAGTACTGTAAGAACTGTGGTCCCGAGATCAAGATGGCCTTTTGCATTTCTTAGCTGGCGTGGTCATGGCATGGCATATAGAGAAAACACACTTCTTGTCCAGCCATTGCCAAGGGGCTCTAACTTGTAAACAATTATTTTTCTCTGGGCATCAGTTTTCTGTAAGATGAGGGATTAACATATAGCTCAGATGTAGTATAATTTAGGGTTACATAGAACTTGATCCTCATTTAACTCTGGGAGGAAGAGAATTGTCAAAATTTAATCCCAAGATATATTCCGATAGTCCTATTAGGTCTCCAGCTGGATTTTAGGGAGCTCTTGTTTCAGTGGTACTTGGGGAAGCTAATCTAGAGACGAGCTCGGACACCCCTCTGTACACTCACACTGACACGTGCTTACCCCTTGACTGAAATCTGTGTGTCTGATGGAAAAGGCTAGGTACCTGGTACCTGCTTGAGTTTTTAATGTGCATGTGGTGTATCTGAGAAGGGGACTGAGGCTCTATGCTGGTTTGACCTTAGTCTGCAGACAGTTGGGTTGGGGAAAAGTTGGTTTCTCCTGGGAGAATGGCAAGCAGGCAGTTTTGCATAGCGGAACAAACAGCACACTGGGACAGCACACTGGGAGTGGGGAGGTCACTTCTCAGGTCCACCATGGATACTTTTGGTATCTTGGACAAAGTGCTCAACCTCTGGGCCTCTTGTCCTCATGTATGAAACAGGACTTACAAGATTCCTTTGAGCTCCAGTTTGCAGAACCAGGAAGATGTGCTCCCTGCTCCAGCACACCCTACGTGGTGGTCAGCCCAGATTCACTTAACATGAGCTGACAATATTTTGTATTTCAGATTCGGCAGAAGCTGCAGGCTAAACAGGTCGCCATGGAAAAGTCTGAAAAGGCTAAGCAACTGCGAGCGCTTAGGAAATACGGGAAGAAGGTAAGAAGGAAGATGTGGGCGCACGGGATGAGGCTGAGTGTTTGTCAGGCTGGGGTGACTGGGTCAGGTCTGCTTCTGTGCCCTGTGTGTGCTCTGTCTTGTGTTTATTATCTCACCGTGGGGAGTCTGTGCTCGTATCCACGAGCACAATCTTCCCTTGACACCAGGGTCTCACCAGGGGTAGCATGGTAACTGTAGGCGATTCATTCATTCCACTGGGCCCCATTTGCTGATCTGTACAGTGAAGAGGGGAGTCCAGACCAGTGGAGTCCCAACCTGACCACAGCAAAATCACCTGCGGAGGTTTTTCAAAACAGATTTCTGGGCTTCAGAATGTCTGGGAATCCGGGTGTTTTTTCTTCCTTTCCCCGTCACGCCCCAGCTTCTCAGATGATTCTGAAATGCATCCTGCTTTGAGAATCACTGGCCTAGATGATGTGAAGTCCTTGAAAGAACCATATTATTGTGATCCAACTGAGAGGGAAAAATGGCACCCGTGTGCTTGAACTATGAACGTCTGAGTTCTAACATGAAAAAAACCTCAGGTAAAAAAGGGCAGGCATACCATGAAACTCTTTGGTTTTTCTTTGTTATTTCATGGTTATTTAGGAAACACGATGACAGGAATTGAAGTCAGGGTTGTGGGAAGAAGGGAGTGTGAGGAGGGTCAGTAGAAGTGTTCGGACCTTGTCCGCGTTTTGGACATAAATGCTTGTGATCAGGGTGCCGAGCTGCTGTCCACATTGGGAGTCACTTCACTGCCGGATCCTCACAGAGTAAGAGTAGATGAGTGTCCTGTCCTGTGCGGAAGGGCAGCTGCGTATTTATTGGATTGATCTGGTGGTCGATGGCCGAGGCCAGCTCAAAGACATGGGCATTTGGTGTAACAATCTAATTTGTCAGAGCCAAAGAAAACGTCACTGGGGCCTGTTAGCTCACCGTTGCTAACTTGAAGAAACCTCATAGCAGCGATTCTCAACTGGGGATAATTTTGCTTACCAGGCAACATCCGACAACATCTGGAGACATTTTTAGTGTCACATCTCCATGGGGAGTGTGCTACTGGCATCTAGTGGGCGGAGGGCAGGGAGGCTGCTAAAGATCCCACAGTGCGCTGGGCAGGCTGTCCACCCCCCAACACGGAGTGATTCCTGTTCGAGCTATCAGTAGTATGGAGATTGAGAAACCCTGCCTTTGAGTATTGGCATCTTCTTTTGTCCTTACAGCCTTTTTTATGTTTTTTGGGAGATTGTTTCTGTTGGTACTTTCATGCCTCATAACGGAGTGGGTTTGACACTTAATCTGCTCACGTATAACGAACGGAGAGAATTGGGTGTAGACCTAGACGTGATTTGCCGTGATTTTGTAGGCAGGATGGTGGAATGGGGTAAGAGTGCAGACTGCCTGGGTGTGAATTCATCTGCGTACTTTCCCACTGTGTGACTCGGGCAAGCTGCTTAACTTCTCTGTGCTTCAGTTTCAGGGGTGGTAGGGATTTCTACTTCACTGGGTGGTTGGGAAGATAAAGTAAGAATATGCTTAGAGCCTTAGCGTAGTTCTGGCACACGTAAATGTGCGGTGGTGGTGTTAGCACATCGTTGTTACCGAAAGCATGTAGGCGCTTACAGCGATGGTCTGGAGTGGGTATGACGGCCCTGTGTTCATGTCCAGGTGCAAACAGAGGTTCTTCAGAAGAGGCAGCGAGAGAAAACACACATGATGAACGCCATTAAGAAATATCAGAAAGGTCAGTATATCTCTGTCCTAAGGATATAGGGAGCAGGGGTAGCTGCTAATTTGAACACATACTGCTCTGGAGCCTTGATTGATTTGCAGCCATGGGGCCTAAGGTTTGGGGACGGTGTGGGGAACAAGATGTATCTCTTAAAGTTAATTTAGCAAGTAACAACCTTCTTTCGAAGCTCAAGCTCTTCTTAAAATGAATGTGTCAGTGCTGATCAAAGTACCTCTTCCCTCCCAGGCTTTTCTGATAAACTGGATTTCCTTGAGGGGGATCAGAAAGCTGCTGCACGGAAAACAAAGGAAGGAGCCAAAGGCCAACAGATGAAGAAGGGGTATGAAGGGTTTTTGTTTGGTTTTGTGATGGGTGCTGGGCAAGCGAGTCACGGGCATGGCAGCGAGTTCCACAGGAGTGGCCTCGAGTTGAGAGAGCACAGTGCTGCCTGTGGCCGGGGCTTACCGGCCCATGTGATGGGTCCTTTTAGCCGTAACAGTCTTGGGAGATTAAAGTAGGGTGGTTTAGGGGGCACCTGGCTGGTACAGTCAGTAGAGCATTGGACTCTTGACCTGGGGGTCATGAGTTCAAGCCCCACATTGGGTGTAGAGCTTGCTTTAAAAAATTAATTAACTAAAAACCAAAAAAACTAAAGTAGGGTGATGTAAGGATTTGGGACATTTTAAGTGGCTGCTCAGTAAAAGTTGCTCACGGCGTAGACCGAAGGTTCAGGTCCAGAGCCTGCCACTTTGGGCAGCTTTGAGCAAGTTTTACTTGACCTTTCTGAATATTTGTTTCCTCATCTATGAAAATGAGAAAATTGTATGCACCTCATACCATTTTGCAGATTAAAAGGGTTAATGGCAAAGATTATTATTTTCTTCTTAGTTCACCTTTATGCATCCCTGGACCCCAGGCCTGGGGGAAATGATAATTTCTGTAGAATATATGAATGCTATGATCAAGGCATTTGAGGGAGTAGTGTGGAAGCACATTTTAGAAATAGCTGACCTGGTCTGGTGATGAGGGCGTGAGGATGGCTCCCTGGAGGAGGGTGCCACCTGAGCTTAGTCTGAAGGATGAGTAAGACCCAGGAGAATAGGAGAGACCCTGGTTTTGGCAAGAAGGAAGAACACGAGAGAGTGAAAGCATAGAGGTGAGAACAGCAGTTTGTGTATGAGGAAAGAGCAAGCATTTGGTGCCACTGGGAGTGCGGTGTGGGGCAAGGAGGGGTGAATTGTAGCTGGAGGGGGCCCTGGGCCAAGTCACAGAGACAGTGTTTGCCTTGTTGAGAAACTTGGGTTTTATCCAGTAGGCACTGGGGAGACATTGAGGGCTTTACTCAAAATTATGAGTAGGTCATATTCATGTTTTTGAAAAATTAAGTGTACTCGTATAAAGGATGGACTTGAGGGGGGCAGGATAATTGATTAGGGGGCTATTACAAAAGTCCAGAGAGCAATGATAATGACCCAAAAGGGGTAACGGGGGCAGAGAAGAGAAAACCGATTGAAGAAATATTCAAGAAGTTAAACTAGCAGCACTCAGTAATTGTGTTGGGTGTAGAGAGTGAACGAAGGAATGAATAATCAAGGCTGGCTCCCAGGTTTCTAGCCTGGTGGCTGAAAAGATGTAGTTCCACCAGCCTCAAGTCACGCTTTTTTTTTTTTTTAAGTAGGCTCCACACCCAACGTGGGGCTGGAATGAATAACCCAGAGATGAAGGGTCGCATGCTTTACTGACTGAGCCAACCAGGTGCCCCACCAAGTCATTGCCTATATACAGGAGGTGAATCCAGTCTAGGAAGGGAGATGGCATGTGATTTTGGGATATGTTGAATTTGAGATTTCCTGCAGGAAGACCAGTTTTAAAATTTATTATATTTGAATGTTAATTGTATGTACTATCCTTGAATAGAAACAACTGAGGATGATCTAGCAAAAATTAGTTAAAATAGAAAACTCTTCAGAGAGAAGAGGTGAGCCACAAAATGTATGTGAAACCTTTCCTGGTTCTTGCTTTGTTTTCTTGCTCTAATGGTTAACACTATAAGTAGATGAGCTTGCCTGGGGGATTTTTAGAGTAAGAAAGTAGGGCCAATGATAAGATTCTGGGTAACAGTAGTATCTAAAGAGATTTTGCTTAGACAGGAAACTAGGGGTAGTCGTAGGCCGTAAGACTCATCAGGATTTGCAGTGCTGTGGGTGACCTGTAAGCCGGCATTTTTGCAGGCCCAATGCTAAGCGACGCTATAAAAACCAGAAGTTTGGTTTTGGTGGAAAGAAGAAAGGCTCCAAGTGGAACACTCGTGAGAGCTACGATGATGTATCCAGCTTCCGGGCCAAGACAGCTCATGGCAAGGGCCTGAAGAGGCCTGGAAAGAAAGGATCAAATGTAAGTGAGCCAAGGGGTCACATGAGGGGCTGGATCACCTCCTCTCCCATCCCACACCTACCCGCTCCCTTCCTTTCCCTGGGGCAGAAGATCAAGCTGCTGTGTGACCACATGCGGTATTTTCTTGTTCCATAGAAGAGACCTGGAAAACGAACAAGAGAGAAAATGAAGAGCAGAACACGCTAAGCAGCATCTTTGTATATGAGGAACCAAGAGAAAGGGATGCAGACTTGGGATTTCACAATACAGTTGGATCATCTTTTGGTTTCTTTTTGTAAAAAATTCTTTCATAAACTAAAAAATTTTCAAAGAAACACATCCTCTTGGTTAAAAACTCAGGACTAAAGGATTGAGAAGTTACTTTTATGTATTAAGATTGCTGTTTATTGATGATAATTTAGACTTTGAGCCCAAATTGCCTTCCTTTTATGATAATTGGAGATTTAATGTATACCTTCCTCATCCTTCCAGGTAATTGTATCATGGGTTTAGATAAATCAAGAATCAGTGTTTATACATTATGATTGTTAAAATACCAATCACTGTCAAACTAGTTGTACTCTGATAAAATTTCCTTTGTGATACAGCTTTTGGGTTTTCCTTGAGTTGATTATCACCCTTATTTTCCTGTGTGCCTAATTTTCCTTGTATATCTTTATTTTTCCTTAGACCTATGTCATTTTAACCAGCTTATACTTTTCTGCTCCAACCTAGATCTGTTATGCAGCTGTCACCTTGTGTCTTCTATACCATCTACATCATAGCTACATCTTAGCTTATGCCTTCCTTTGGTGTGTACCATCTTCTGGTATCTTCTAAGGAAGGGGATCTTGAGAACTTCCTACATTTCTGCAGTTGCCTTTAGTTTGGCTGATGGGTATTGTCCCGACAATGTTGTAGGCATTGCTTCTCTGTTTTGCTGCCTCCTCTCCCCACTGAGAAGTCACTGCCCTTTCCTTTCCTTCTTTCTGGAAGCTTTTCTTCACCCAACGATCTGAAATTCCATGATAACATGCCTTGGTGTGGGCTTGTTTTTACTCTAATTAGGGCATTTAGAAGGATGCAGGTTCTTCAGTTCTGGCAAATTTTATTTGATAAGTTCTCCCTATTTTCTTTGTTCTAATTCTGGAATTTTTGTTAGATTGTGAAACCCTTCCAGTGATCTTCTAAGTTTGTATTTTCTTTCTACTTTAGGGGAAAGATTCTTTTGATTGTCTAATCATTTATTGAGTATTTATTTTAGCTTTCATTTTCCATTTTATTCTAAGCATTCTTTGTTCTTTTATCTCATAATGTGAATTATAGTTTTGTTTTTTTTAAGGCTTTTCTTCTGTTGCCTTCATTCTGTTTCCTTGGGTTTTCCCCTGCCCCACCTGTGCATTATGATCCCCCTTTTTCATGTTGAGCCGTGTGGGTCAAGAGCACAGACTTGGGCCAGACTGCTGGGTTTGACACCTGTTTCTGCTGCTTGTTTGACCCTGGGCACATTAATTTTTCTGTGCTTTGTCATCTTTTTATATACATGAGAATAATATCTACCCAAATGTCAGCATTAAGTGAGTTAATATATGTAAATGGTTAGACTGTTGTCTGCCATATGATAGGAGTGTATACCTGCTTAGAATTATTTTGCTGGGGGGAGTTTTTTCACGTCAGCCTTGGTGGTACATACTTGAGAGGTACTCGGATGCTGCCTGGAAGCTACGCATAGGTTGGACGTGGGTGGGCGGGCCACGTTGCATGTTGGGTTTTACTCTGTGTTGATAGGGAAGTTTACCTGTCCTCCATCTCTCCGTTCCAGTTTAGAAACTGTATTTTAAGGAGGCTAGAATATCGGAGAACTGTGTAGTCTTAAGCAGGAAAAAAATTCATTTTTACACTGTTTCCTTGTGGGATCATTGGTATACAAAAAAGGACATTTCTGGTTTTATGATACTTTCCAGTACAAAAAGAATGAATTTAGTTTTTGTAAACTCATTTCGATTAACAAAATTCTGAGCAAACAGGTCCCGTTTTCAGAAGACCAAAATGTTTTACCCTGACCTATTTTTGACAATCTACAATATTAGTGGATGGAGTAATGTATCCATTAAAGACTTTGAATTATGTGTGGAACATAATTGAGAGTTTTAAGAAAGGAGAACACAGGTTAGCAGTAGTTTCCACTGCTAAGGCCAAAAGTAAGTCATTACTGCTAGTACTTGTACAGGATTTGAAACTATCTGTTACACACTGCCCCTCCTTTTTTTTTTTTTTTTTTTCTTATACAGCAAATGGAATCAATTTCAGAGGTGTACTTCATAGAAGTCATTTAAGTCATTTCCTCTGCTGTTTCAGCCCTCAAAGGATCACCAGGGTGCAGGCAGTAGCATCCCTCATATTGCATTAAATTGCAGTCCCATGCATGGAGGGATAGGTGGGGACCTGGCAGTTCTCAGTGCCAAGTGCAGGCTTTTCTTGCCAAGTGTAGATTTCGGTTGTAAGGGCCGTTCTTGCTATGCCTGGATTTCAATGCTCAAGGTAGCTGTTCCTCAGCAACACTGTCCACATTTCAGTTACTAAAAGTGTTGTTAACTGTGAGTAATGGCAGGAAGTAGCAACTTTGCTGCCAGCTCTCCTGTCCACAAATCCCTACACGATACTGAGTGACCAACTGTCACTGAAAGTCTGGTGGTGGGTCGTGGCACATCTCAGTTCACGCACAGGTGGCCAAGGGTGCACTTGTGTTGCCTCTTAGCCTCCCAGGGATAAACCCACATGACATTTTACAAAAGTAGACAAAGGAGGATCAAGCAACAAAGAGGAAAGTGCAACATGTAAGCGACCGTGATAAGGTTGGAAGTGACGTTTGAATAGGATGTTAGGATGCGAGTGGAGCCGCAGGAGAAACAGGTGAGGAGACAATGGTGACACTTGCTTTCTGGAGACTGGATACGCAGCCAGAGAAGGAGCAAAAGCGAGCTTATAGACACGATGAGGAAAAAGATGGAGATGTCCCAGAGGAGGGGACACTGGTAGCAAACTTCACGTTAAAGGGACTCCTGGAGGTATTTTGTAACATTGAAAGGCCAAATGATAAAGTGTTGGAGGTGAATCCAAGCTTGGGGAGTCAGACAACTTGCCAAGGTGTAGAAAGGAAGCTTGCTCTGTGTCATACAAGGAAAAAAGGCAAGCACTGTTTTTTTTTCACAAATGAAACACTTGATTCTCAGTGATGTTAATGTTTTAAGTTACAGTCTACCAAATATTAGTTTTACTATTTTTTTTCATTGTCTGTATTTAACAATAGAAGTTTTTAATACTTTGACGAACTTTAAAAAATGTATTCATCATCATGGATGTTGTATTTTGAGAGAAGCATAAAAGGTAGACAGTTGATAGGCAGAAACGTGAGTCTAATTTTCTGATCTAGTGTAAATTATAAGATAGATCAGGTCCCTGGTTCTTTCTCATCACAAAATTGTCAGCTCTGAAAGTGGTCGTTGTGCTCCTACAAGTCTGTTCCTTTAAATACAGCATGTTCAATTCCTTCTCAATGTCACCAAAAACAAAACAAAACAAAAAGAAAGCTGTTACTCTGTACCCAGGCAATCCTCACTTTGCACAGTAGTGCAGGACTGTTAAAATGAGCTGCTTGCAGCTATGGGGGTAGGGAGGGTGCTTGGGGCTTTCACCCCCTCTCTGGGCACACCCCCCCACCCCAGCACCTTGATGTGCTCACCAACTGGAAGCTCTCCCAATCCTACAGTTTGGGTTTGTTTTGTTCTTTTTTTTCTTTTTTTTTTTCTTTAATGGGGTTTTACTGCGTAGGCATGATTGATGAAATCACTGACCATTGGTGATGGTTCACCTCTCGTCCCTCTTCCCTCCCCAGAGGTTGGGGGTAGGGCTAAAGTTCCAAGTTTCTTCAACGTGTTTTATTTATTTTTGGGACAGAGAGAGACAGAGCATGAACGGGGGAGGGGCAGAGAGAGAGGGAGACACAGAATCGGAAACAGGCTCCAGGCTCCAAGCCATCAGCCCAGAGCCTGACGCGGGGCTCGAACTCACGGTCCGCGAGATCGTGACCTGGCTGAAGCCAGACGCTTAACCGACTGCACCACCCAGGCGCCCCTAAAGTTCCAAGTTTCTAATCAAGCCTTGGTCTTTCTGATAAGCAGCCCCCATTCTGCAGCTATCTAGAAGCTGCCAAGAGCTCCTCATTTGAGTAAAATGTGGGGTGCCTGGGTGGCTCGGTTAAGCGTCCAACTTCAGCTCAGGTCATGATCTCAGGGTTTGTGAGTTCGAGCCCCACATCAGGCTCTGTGTTGACAGCACAGAGCCTGCTTTGGTTCTTCTGTCCTCTCTGCCCCTCCCCTGCTCGTGCTCTCTCTCGAAAATAAACATTAAAAATTTTTACAAAGAATAAAAGATGGCCCTATCGCGTCTCTCAGGAAATACAAGGGATTTAGGAACTCTACGTCAGGAACAAGGGACAAAGACATCTATCTTTCTGTGACATCACAGGTCACCTCCTGGTTCCGTTCCAGCAAAACAATTATAATAGTTAAGAGATACTGGCACATTTCTAGATGCCCAAGTAGTCATTACTAATTAGTCATCATTGCATTGTATGAAAATGTCTCCCAGGGGAAGGCCACTTGGATTTGCAGTCTTGATCTGCAGTTTGATCTGTCAGGTTCCAAAAGCAGGAGTGATCTCAGCAATAGATGGCTTTGCCTTTCAGGCATAACTCAAGAAGGGCCTAATGGAAGAGATACATGGAGCAAGGTATCGGAGGGAAGATGTGGGGCTGCCGTGCCCTCTTGGGCACGCCCCCTCCCACACCCTCCATGTGTTCACCAGCCTGGGGTTCTCTGGCTTTTTTTTTTTTTTTTTTTAGATTGAGAGAGAGAAAGTGGGTGAGAGCAGGGAAGAGAGAGAGGGAATCCTAAGCAGGCTCCAGTACGGGACTCAGTCCCACAACCTTGGGATCATGACCTGAGCCAAAAGACACTCAACTGACTGAGCCACTCAGGCGCCCCTCCCCCACCGGCACTTTTCCCATAGGACTTCAAGTGGTACTACGTGGGGGTCTTTAGAGCCATTTCATTTTTCCAGAGAGGAACCTTCCAGCTTCAAACCTGGGGTAAAAGCGCAATATATGTGTGGACTAGGGGTTCAATCTTACTTTCACCGATTTTCCTTGGTGGTGTCACACCTCACTCCTACCCTGTGTTTTACTTTGTGTCCCGGATCCTTGGATTTTTCCCATTTCCCTAGGAGTAGACCTCCACTGTATGAGGTGTTATGTGTCTGGCTGGTGTGTGTGTTGAGGGGGGGAAGGGTCTCCCTACCAATGTCCATTTTCAGTTCCCTGCCTCACACCCCCGTCTCTCTGAGTCAGAGGTGTCCCATTCGGCGTGTCCCATTTGTGATTTCCTCACCTTCCTCCATCAGCTTCCCATCTTCTAAATATGTCTTCAGTCTTCTTGGTAGCTGATGTTCCTCTCTCATTCTCTCTGTTGTGCATCCATACCTTTTTTGTCCTTTTATTATCCCTTATTGGGATCCGGGGAGGCAGAGGAAATACTGTATGCATCTTAAACTGGAATTCTGCCGCCAGTTTTAAGATTAAGGATATGAACCGGTGGACTTGGGCAGAAAGGAGAAATGTGAGACTCCAAATAGGAAAAGTCAGACTGAGGCTTCAAAATAATCTTTAGTTATCCAGGCAGCACACACATTGGGTATTAAAGACAGGGCTGCTGTCACCGCTGGGACACTACTTGTGGCGATCATCCTCTCCCAGGCTCCACATTTTAGCCTTGTACAGAGTGATGTCATTGTAGACCCTGAAGTGGTTCAGCCTGCGGTCACCACGTTCCGGGCTGACCTAAAGAGGAGAACACGGGTGTCAGAAGGAAGCTTCTGGAGAGGGGGGATGACGTGGGTCCGTAGTTGGATGGACCCGGGCCCCAAAAGCACTGGAGGCTTCTCCTTGCTCAGCCTTGTTTGGGAAAAGGAGATGACAGCAATTGCATCAAAACAGTCGTAGGACTGAATGAGAGTACCTATATGCAACGTGGCTGCTCTTGCCTTTCCCAGGCTTGAGTTGGAGGCCATGCCTGTGGACTGCTGGAATGTATGCTCCACGAGGGCGAGTCCTGTATCTGTGGCACTCACTGCTTATCCCCAGCACCTAGAACAGTATCCAGCATGCACTAGGGATTCAGTACACATCTGTTGAATGAAGGAGTGGATGTTGTTGAAGCAGTCACACAGGGAACTAAGAGCAAGCACTCTGACACATAAATCTTACAGAAGCTAGAAGATTAATTTATGCAATTAACTGAAAGGATACATTTTCATCAAATGTTACTAGGAGAGCAGAAGCTGAGAGGTATTCGAGTATGGCTTCCCCAGTGTCCTACTATTGGGATTGGGGTTCTCTGCTAGTGTAGGGTCAGGCCCTGCTAGGGGGTAGGGAGCCAGCCCTAAGGTAAGTTAGGCCTGATCAATTCTTCTGCCCCCAAATGTATCACTCTGAAACTCTGGCTTAATTGCCTTTTATGGTTGCAAAACACCTGGATCTAACTTTTTTGGGAGGAATACTTTCTTATTATGCCAGCAGTGCCATCTGATGGCATTGTAATGATGAACAGGCTTGACCTATTTGCAGACCCTTTGCAACTCCACAGTGATGGCTGATCTGGCATGCACAGTTGGTTATCTGCGAGGCCTAGGAGGGTCCCCCTGGCCGGGACAGCCATACTTGTGCTTCCTGTCGTGGCCGGGTGAGCCTGCCGTGATATGTGCTGGTCAAAGATGCATTTCTGGGGGAAGGTCCGAGATGGCAGAGCAATATGGAAGTTTTTTGTGTCTCTTGTCCCTGAAATGCAGCTAGATCAACACCAAACCATCTTGCACACCTAGAAAATTGATCTGAGGATTAACTCAACAAGCTGCATAACTTAAGCCACAAACTTGACAGGTATGTGGTGCAGAGAGGTTAACTGGGGGAGAGAGAAGCCTCAGAGGACAAGGAGCTGTTTTTGCTTGGAGAGAGAGGATGGAGACATGGGGTAGAATAGAGGAAAGGCACTCCTCCTGAAAGCATCTGGAGAGAAAGAGAAAGAGTGGAAACACCCATAAGGTAATTAACAATAAAAGGAGAAAGGAGAGGATTTAAATTTCATTAAGACTCTATAAACAGGGGGAGCACAGAGTCTGAAACTCTGCAGCTCGATACCTGATAGACCTCTGGTGGGAAGGGCGAATCCCCAGGAACAGACAGCGAGATCCGAGGGGTCCTTGGGCCACATGGGGAGAGGCAGTTCCCCAGCTGGGAGGACATTTGGTAGAGGTTGTGCAGCCTCCCCACAGGCAAAGGTTCCAGCAGACCCCAGAGAACAGCCACATTTGCTGGTGCTGGAACAAGGACGTTGAGGTGGTGAAGCCTGGTGCCAGGTGTGTGTTGTGATTTTCCATAAACCCTGAAATGCTGCTGCTACACAATTGCGTGAACTTTTCCTGGGGCGGCTGGCACCCAGCCGCCGTCTCTGGACAAATGCAGCGGCACGTTCATGTGAGCATTCCAAGGGGTGGCCAGCACTTGGCCACTACTCTGTGAGACCCTCCCCCAGAGGGTCTGAATGGGTCAAAACCACAGGGCCCTCAGAAGTGAGGGGTTTGGAAACACAGCCCCGTCGAGATAAAACTCAGGATGGAGGTGCCGCCTGGCAGGCTGACGACTTGGTTAAGGACAGGGAAGTAGTGGGGAGTGGGTGGAGGCTGGAGACAAAGGAGGGGTGCTTGACTGCCAGTGGGTGAGCATAGAGTTCTGATACTAGAGACTGGGTAGCTGGGTGACACAATTTTCACCGCTCCTGCACATGCATATACACACGTGCCACAACAATCCACCCCAGTAAGCTAAGCAGCACCATCTAGTGGAGAAATGGAGTTGTTACACCAACCCCTGGCCAACTCACCAACTGTGCTCTAGAGGAACACAAGTCTCTCCACCTGCTTAAGTACAGACTATAAAGTACTTCATAGTTTGACTTTAGGGGAAACTGGATGTAATTTCCATCGTATTCCTTTCTGTTTGCCTGTCCATCTATTCCACTTTTTTCTTTTTCTTTTCTTATTCTTGAATACAGAAAGAGAAAAAATTATTTTTATTTTCTGTTTTTATAAAAAGATTTTTCTTTAAAATTTTCTACTATGTTTTCTAGGGTTTTTTTTGTAATTTTTTATTATATTTTACTTTCATCATTTCACTTTATTCTGTTTTATTGTATTCATTTTTTAAAATTTTCAAGTGTTTTCTTTTTTTTTTTTTCTTTTCTTTCCCTTTTTCTTTATTCTATCAAGGTCCTTTCAACAACCAGACCAAAACACACCTAGGATCTAGCATCCTTTATTTGATTTTTTTGTGTTGTTTTTAACTTTTAATTTTTATTTTATTAATTCTTTTTCTTCCTCCAAAATGACGAAACAAAGGAATTCACCCCAGAAGAAAGAACAGAAAGAAATGACAACCAGGGACTTAATCAACAGAGACACAAGCAAGATGTCTGAACCAGAATTTAGAGTCACAATAGTAAGAATAGTAGCGTGGGTTGGAAAAAACATAGAATCCCTTTCTGCAAAGATAAAAGAAAATCCAGTCAGGACGAAATTAAAAATGCTATAACTGAGATGCAATCTCAAAGGGATGCCACAGCAGCAAGGACAGATGAGGCAGAGCAGCGAATCAGTGATATAGGGAACAAACTTATGGAGAAAAATAAAGCAGGAAAAAAAAGAGGGAAACTGAGGCAAAAGAGCATTAGAGAACTCAAATGAGAATTAGAGAACTCAGTGACTCATTAAAAAGGAATAACATCCAAAAAAAAAAAAAAAAAAAAAAAAAAAAAAAAGAATAACATCCAAATGATAGGGGTCCCAGAAGATGAAGAGAGAGAAAAAGGGGTAGAAGGTTTATGTGAGCAAATCATACTGGAAAACTTTCCTAACCAGGGGAAAGACACAGACATCAAAATCCAGGAAGCACAGAGAACTCCCATTAAATTCAACAAAAGCCGACCATCAACAACGCATGTCATAGCCAAATTCACAAAACAAAGGAAAGAATTATGAAAGCAGCAAGGGAAAAAAAGTCCTTAACCTACAAGGAAAGACAGATCAGGTTCACAGGAGACCTAGCCACAGAAACTTGGCAGGCCAGAAAGGAATGGCAGGATATATTCAATGTGCTGAAGTGCAGCAAGAATATGCAGCCAAGAATTCTTTATCCAGCAAGGCTGTCATTCAAAATAGAAGGAGAGATAAAGTTTCCCAGACAAACAAAAACTAAAGGAGTTCATGACCACTAAACCAGCCCTGCAAGAAATGTTAAGGAGGACCCTCTTAGGGGAGAAAAGATGAAACAAAACAAAAAAGACCAAAAGCAACCAAGACTAGAAAGGACCAGAAAATGCCACCAGACACTACACCTCTACAGGCAACACAATGGCAATAAATTCATATCTTTCAGTGCTCACTCTAAATGTCAATGGACTAAACGCTCCAATCAAAAGATATAGGGTAGGCAGGAAGATGGCGGCGTAGGAGGACGCTGGGCTCACCGCGCGTCCTGCTGAT